AAAAAAAATGCATGTCCCAGTTGGGAGGTGAATAAATAGTCCTCATGATGCTATAGATTATTACTTAATAACCGCCTGGGTTTGTTATGTGAGCTATAGGTATATATAGAAGCCAGTACCTCAAGAAATTATCAACAGTTTCAATTTGCCCGTAGCCTCTACACTTGTCTTTCTATCGGGTAAAATGGCAACGGCCTGGCTGCTCCAGGCTCTGTGCACAACGGTTTTGAGCAATGGAGCTCTACAGGCAAGACAAGCGGGGGCGACCAACAACTTCTTCCTGGCCAACACCACCTCCGGAACACTGAGGGGACAGATTGTTTCTGGACCTTCAGTCCCGGTGGCAAGGTTCGCTGGCATCCCCTACGTTAAACCTCCCACTGGTAAGAGACATTATATGCATTCCATTCTTCCTGTCCTCCCCTATTCTCTTTCTCTCCCCTCTTTCTCCCCCTCTCACTCTCTCACTCTATCTTTGTTATTTTGTATATAGAAATATCCACTACTAAAAACCCATGTATGTCATCCTTGTGTTTTTTGTGACTATGTTTCTTTAATGTATGTAACTGAACACTGGTTCTACTCCAGGTAGTAAAAGCTGATATAATGATTTGGTTTAATTTTAGTGTAGAGGTTTTATGGTGCTCGCAACTGCATAAGGTCATATGAGCGCCAAGGGGTGGATGTCAACAGAGAAGTCTTTACAGGGAATCAGACTTACTCTGCTCACCTCTCTAGCTTCAACAGCACAAAGTCTGCTTCGACTGTCAAGGCACCTGGGAAAAAGCGTGTCACAAGAGCGTGACAAACATACCAAAGAAGTAGAGGGAAAAAAAGACGATAGTAAGGATTAGGACAGAAAAAGGAACAGGTTCCTGTTTCAGTTCGGCACAGTTATTTAGCATGACATCGATTTATATGCTCATTTACAATTCCACTGTGCATAAGAACATGTTTATGTCCCCCTTTTGGGAATAGCCTAAAGACACTTCAGTCAGTAGTACTGCCCCGGGGGTTACAATAATTTGGAACCAATCGTTCAATATATAGAGGGCAAAGAAACGTCAATTCTTTCTCAATGGTTGGACTTGCTTCCGTAAAATCTTTGCAGCCAAAAATAAACTTTGTTTTGGACTCTTGTTAACATTATTTAAAATTACAGAATTGGAAACATGAAATTATCAACTCTTCCAGGTTCTAATAAACGAGCACAACTACCCGGATTCAGGCAGAAAAGGTAATTTGGGGGGAGAATGTTCACAAGAGGGCAACACTGTCTCTTGTTGGAATAGTTGGAAAACATGAAAATTCGACTCCTGCGCGATGTGATTTTCTCAGAAGAAGTTAAGATTTTCACTGCTGTACAAAACATTGCTTGTTACTTATTTGAATTACTTGAATGTAGAACCGGGGTCTTAGGAAGACGTGGCGTTCCATGCTTCTTCACCCCTCTTCCCGAGGGTCCATTTCAGTGTGGGCAGGCTGATTGTCTCCATCATCAGCAGGTGCATTATGTTATAAAAACTGAGTAAACCTTGTGGTGACTGAAGGCAGGGATAGAAGACGAGAGGATATTAGCTGTACCAGGAGTATGCAGTTCTCAAAATCTAAAGCTGAGAGGTTTATAGAATGAATGAGTTTGCTCTATTTAATGAGACAATATCGTAGTTTTCACTGAGTATTACGGCCCAGCAGTGAAACTGTTAACGTGCAGACTTCAATGTGAATTTATTTCTCTGTTTCAGGACCACTCCGCTTTAAGGCCCCTGTTGCTCCTGACTCATGGACCGGTGTCAGAGACGCCCTGGGATTTAGGGACGAGTGTCTGCAGCGAGTGGGTCTTAACGATCGTTTCCGTAACCCAAACGCTTCTCACAGCGAGGACTGTCTCTACCTTAACGTGTACACGCCGACTAAGAGAACCAGCAACGCTCCATTGCCCGTCATGGTGTTTATCCACGGAGGAGGGTACAACGCTGGGTCAGGCTCATCCTATGATGCTTCTTACGTCGCAGCTAAAGGAGTTGTCTTTGTGACCTTTGAGTACAGACTTGATCTTTTCGGATTCCTGTCAACAGAAGATGACACTCTGCCTGGAAACTATGGGATGTTGGATCAGGTCGCTGCTCTGAAGTGGGTCAAAAATAACATTGCTGCTTTTGGAGGTGACCCAAATCTGGTCACTATTGCTGGACAAAGTGCTGGGTCAGCTTGTGTCTCTCTCCTCACTCTGTCACCGCTAGCCAAAGGTCTGTTCCAGAGAGCAATCATGGAAAGTGGTTCCGCTCTTTCACCTTGGGCAATCGAATTTCCAGGAAATCGAATGACTCCTCGTATTTCCGCTCGACTGATCAGCGAGGCCGTTAACTGCAACGACTTAAATAATTCAACAGCACTTTTGTCCTGCTTGCAAAAGGCAGATGCAAATGCATTGCTCAAGGCATCCCTTGGAATCACTGTAGCCGCACAAGCAACCCTCATCAATATCCCTAGAATAGAAACAACGTTTGGATTTCTGCCAGACAAACCAAGTACCTTACTCGCTCGAGGACAAATTAACCACGTAGATACTCTAAGGGGATTTAATAGTGATGAATTTGGAGGAATGATTCCGACTTTCTTCGGAAAGAACCCACCAGTTGTCACAATGAACGTGGCCAAACAGGTTTTGAGATCTCAGACGACACAGTTTACCAATCTCGACCGGGAGGACATCGTTAACGTGATGAAGACATCCTTTATTAAAGATAGGTCAACCCCAGCCACCATACAAAGGGGAACTCTGGACGCTGTAGATTACTTTGTATTTGGGGCACCAATGGTTATGGAACTGGCTAAAGTTGTAAGCTACGTTCCTGAAAAGAAGCATTACTTGTACCAGTTCAACTACAGACCTAGTTTCAGCAAAGCCCCACAATGGATGTCAGCTCTGCATGGAATTGAGATGCTTTTCCTGTTTGATGTGCGACAGCAAATGTTCACCGACAAAGGCAATGGGCCACCTAATGCTGAAGACATTCAGGTATCTCAACAAATAATGGAAAGGTGGACCAACTTTGCCAAGACAGGGAACCCAACGTCAACTGTTCCAAACGGCGGAGCGACGTGGAACCAATATAGGTCAACAACACCTAACTACCTTCAAATCAATTCTGCTTCCCAGGAGAAAGTCTTGTCTCCGAATGAAATCATTAATTATTACCGCCAAATTCTCGACACTCTTCAGGGACCAAGCTCAACCCCCATTGTGCCCATTGTTGGGTAGACGATTGTAGATGTTTAATATGAAATAAAATATATCTTTTTGTGTAAACCTTACAGTACATAGTTGTTTACAGTATCTATAGCTCATTCCTACAATTTTCACCCCCCCACAACAAACGCCCTCTGTAGTCATAGTTTTTGCTTTCTATTATCTGTTTCATTATGGCATACTTGTTTGAGCGCTTTGTTAGCTTAGTTGGTACAATGCCAGATTGCGGAAGAAGTGGCCTTGCTTAAAATATTTAGACAAGGCGTATTTGAACTGAAATTGTTTGGTGGAGATTTCAAGGTTCTCAACCCAATTGGTCAGGTCCTTTCGGAAATGGACGTTAAATATATTTTGCACAGTCTTTAAAATAGCCTAATAGTGTTAATAAAGACCTGAAAAAATATGCACTTCCTTTCTATTTCTCTCCTTTCCTTTCCTTTGTTTTCCTTTGCTTTGGTTTCCTTTGCTTCAATTTTAGAGTGCCAACTTATCTAGTCCAGAGCCAATTGGATGGAGATCGAGCGAAAAAGCCCACTAAACCTTTTCTTGGTCTTGAAAAGCGAAGTCAGAGTTTCAATATTGTTAAAACTTAACGTGCCAACTTCTGAAAAGTCATCATTAAGAGGTAGCCTCCATCATCATCATCATCATTATCATCTTCATCGTCATTATCATCATCATCATCATCATCATCATCATCATCATCATCATCATCATCATCATCATCATCATCATCATCATCATCATCATCATCATCATCATCATCATCATCATCATCATCACCATTTTTTGGTAAGCAGGGTAGGAGGGAGAGTCTTGTTTTATTTTTAGACAAAAATAAAATAACAATATAGAATGTTTAAATTTGTTTAATAGCTCAACGTTTCGTCCCGTGGGCTTCCTCAGGAGGAGCAAAAAACAACAACAAAAAAAACAAAATACCCCCCCCCCCCAAATCATCATCATCATCATCATCATCATCATCATCATCATCATCATCATCATCATCATCATCATCATAAACAGTCGAAACTTTAACCTTCCCCCCAAAAAACAACAAAAAACAAACAAGACAACAACAACCGAAAACCCAACATTAGATCTTTCTGGTATACTGAACAATCTAACACTCCCAGTAACTGCCTCATCAAGACATTTTATTCAACTGCATAACATACAGAGGCATCACTTTATTAAGCCACACAGGGAAAGCATGAGCCAAAATAATAGCACAAAGGAGAATGCCTATTTTAGAGAGAAACCTGAGCGAAGCCTGTTAGAATTCCACAAAGGAAAAGGGTGCCCGGGTGCTGTATTCGCATTATTACAGCTCTGCAAGAAAACCATAGAGCAAAGGTAGGAATCCAATATCGTCTTCTTAGATCAGGAGAAGGCTTTTAACAAAGTAAACAGTGGAAGACATTTGAAATGTAAGGCATCAGAGGACAGCTTTTAGACAATATCAGTGCTGTATACACCAATAGAAGAAGCTTACTAAGAACAAAGGAAGGCAACACAGACTGGTTCAAAGTAAAATATTAAGTACGACACGGATGCGTTTTTACCTCCCCTCCTATTAACTATAATACACATGTATATGGACTCAAGAATGCAAGATGCAAACCAAAGCCCAGAAAAACTAAATAAACTACTGTTAGCAAACGAACAATGTATTATGCATCCAAACCAAGACGCCTCCAAAATCAAGCATAGAACTTAACGACAGCTACAAGAAATATGTAATGGGGATACGAACCTCAAAAACAGAAGGCATGACAGTCAACAGAACCCATCGTCCCCTGACACAGTCATGTCAATAGTAAACAACACAAGAGATTGAAATATATTTGCAGCCTTTTTTGACTGGTTCACAGTAAGATCAGAAGTACTACACGGAAGCGTTTTATCTCCCCTCCCTTTCATAGTATATAATATTATGGACTCGATAACGCAAAATGCAAACTAAAGCTTGGGAATCTTTTCTTTTTTGGGTGAGAGTTAAACGGCACTTGCAATAGCATAAGGTCATATAAGGACACATTATTTGGTAGCCTTTTTTCTGCTGAAAACAGGTCCAAAGACAGAGAAATGTAAAAGGGAACTCAAAACACCAAAACAGCCACCTATCAGCTCTCACTCCTTCTGTTCCATCCAAACATCCTCATGGACACAAAGAGACAACTTATTATTTCAATGTTTATACCAAGATTATGCTACCAGTGTCACCCCTGGACATTAAGCAAGACAAAAGAAAGCAACATCACAATATTCGGGATGAAATTCGAAAACGCTAAACATCACAAGAAGAGACAGGCACACCACACAGAACCGGGACTTCACAAAACATGTGCTCATTAGTATTAATTTTATTTTTGTTAAGTTACTAATGATTTCGTGTCGAACACTAAGCGCTTTTTTCACATTGACAGAGTAAGATAGATTTTTAGACATAATCATCTGTCAGTGAGAAATAGAGGCCACGAAACTGCCACGGTTTTGGGTGGTCTGGGTGGAATGAACAAAACTGCCCTCGTGAGAATCACCGTGTGGCTTGGTTTAGTGGACTACATCGTGCAAATGCTAGAACGTCATGTCTTACCCTTGTTTTCGTCATGGTGTCATTCAATTAGACATCTCTATGCTTAGCGAAGAATTTTCTTACAGTGCCAATGTCACTAGATAATTCTTGGAAAACCAAATTAAATCAACGTTGGAGCGATCACCAGTATATTATTATAGACCCGTTGCGAATCCTACAGGTATGTGAAGAGTGAAGTACCATGAAACAACAGTTGAAGAAACTCAGACCCTTTGTTTTCAAATCTCTGTGATATTTGGGATAAAATGACACAGATAGTTAAATCACAAAATTTAAGAGGGTAAATGCTCAATGGTTTCGTGCACTATACAAAACTAATGGCGTCCGAGCAAAATAATAATGAGGACATTTAATGACGTTCATGTTTTGCATGGTATTTGTGATTGCTCTGTTTCCTGTTGTGTTTGCAACTTTAGTGACAAAGTATCAAAATACAACATTGTTTATTGCAATGCAACATTCTCCATTCATTGGATGTGTAATGTACGTCCATTCTATCAATATTGATGCTCCTCAATACCCTCGCAAAAACTGTCTTTTCGCATAATTTTGCCAAGCCTGTTTTCTTTTTTCAGGTCAATTTTGAAGGACTAGATCTGTATCTCGGGCGCCTCTTAACATAGATGAATTATTAAAGTGTAAAATCATGCAGAATAAATTTCGCTTTTTTGGTATGCTGCATGAGTACAGAATGTGTAGGTAATGCGAGGCTTTAACACGATGGATTTGTTATTACATTTTCAAGTTTGTTTTGAACACCTCTGTGTAATCAGTGGTTGAAACGAATCAACTCTTCGGTATAGATTAAACGCGCCGATCAACACTATTACATTGTTCAAAGGGCGGGACCTCTGAATTTAATGTCCCTTCCTAAGAACACAACGTCGGACCGAGCAAAGGCTCGAACCCCCGAACCCACAGTTGAGAGTCCTGCAGCCTTACCACTAGGTTACCATTCTTTACTATTGCTATCAAGCTGAAACTGTCCATTGAATCTGCTCTCAAAGGTTTATTTCTTTCTTTCTTTCTTTTTTTTTTTTTTGGGGGGGGGGGGATTTCTGTCTGCTGTCCAAACAAAAGTGACGCTACTCCCTGGCCTCAACAGATATCCTCTGGTGAGATAAAGTCATAATTGGTGATTCTTTTTACAGAGATGACACCTTTCTCCCAGTATTTTCTATCCTTCGCCGAGCCCTCTTTTTTAAAGCTGATCTGCTTTCAAAATAGCGAGAGATAAGTCTACGAAATGAGGCGTTTGCTTACGAGTAATATTATGCACAATATTGATTTGTTAAATATATAGGAATTGCTTCCAAACGTCAGCATTGGAATCATACCAATCTTGTAAGAGACTGTGGTGATTCAGACACAGGGTACTTGATTTGGGAGTCTAAGGTCGCCACCCCCCCTGGGGTGAGGGGGTACAAAATTAAGTGTAAAATGTGCCCTCTCGACTCGAGTTCGAGGATCCTGCGATAGAATTTCCGCAAGTTTAATAAGACACGAACAGAATATTCGAGGAAAAAGACTAGGGAGTAGAATGCTACATTTTAAAACATTTTTTAACTTGCCACCTACAACTTGCTTACAAATACTCAAACATGCCTGCCATGGTATTGTCTACCTACTTAGGTCCCCTAATTACTTGTCTTGGCCCGATAGAATAGGCTAACACTAACAATTTCACCTTAAAAGTGACTGTGCCCACCATTTGGGAACTTCACTCATCACCATCATTATTTCTTAAACCATCATTACTTTCAGATCCTTGATTTATACATATGTGAGGAAGTGTGGTGGAATCAGGCTCACGTCAAAATCATCTAAGTTAAGAAACTTGCTTTTTTCCGCAGGTTTTTGAAGTTTTATCGAATTTTTCTTTTTTGGCCCAACACCTTTCATGCCCATTAAAGAACTCATTTCTGTGTGGATTTTTCTGAAAAACGTTTATATTAATTCACAAAAAATGTTAATTTTCAGTTACTTCGGACTCTAAAGCTAAGGAAATAACTAATCTTTGGCCGCCATTTTCTCATTAATTCTACCTCTGAAAAAAAATGACCCCCACCTCCTTCTTTTGCAAATATCTCGACTTGTATTCAAGAAAAATGGATATTTTTTTTCGTCCAAATAAAGACAGGTGAACAAGCTTTAAGGTGATACCAATCACTCTACATGCCCAAAAATTGACGAGAGCCTGATTCCACCGCGCTGCCTCACATATATTCCTTATCTGTAACAGTTACATGTTACACTAAGTATGTGCATAATACCTTTGGACACTTTCATATAAACTGTGTTCAACTAAACAGATGGCGTCAATCTCATATCAGTGGGAAAGGGAAAAAAATAGGCAGCCATACCATTTCATTCAATATTTTTCTATGAAATGCAGACAGGACTCCATGTCGACAGTTGCTCTTACATCTTTATTTCTCTACCTGTCTCTTCTCGGGATGTTTAAGGCTTTGCAGGAACATTTCACCTGGCATGCAGGGATCTTGCTATCATGGGTTTTACTCAATGTCCAGGTCTGACACTCGTGGTATAAAGTTAATATAAATGTTAAAGTGAAAAGTTGTATCTTCGTGTTCACGGAGACATTTAGTTGAGATAGATGATTGCGAGTTAATGGGTGACAGAGTTGGCGTTTTGAGTTCGTACTTTTATTTCATCACTTTTCCGTAAAAACACTGAATGATACTTAAACACAATTACCTGTTTTTGGCTGTTTGCTGTTCAGATGAATGTTCATTACTTCTGTTTTTTGATGTGCTTATTTTTATGTCAAATTTTTCACAACTGTTGTTCAATTTGGTTGGAGGATTTGTTGGTCGTCAGCAGACACTGGCTTCGTCAGGCTTTTTTGTTCTTTGGTATACATTTTGCCTTACTTTGTACATACATTATGAAAAGGAGGAGAGATATAAGGCATTCCTGCTGTAGTCCAGATGCTACTTCGAACCAGTTTGTAATGCCTTCTTTTGGTTTT